AAACTCAATGATGTTGGCTTCATCGCCGAGGCTATCTTTGACGCTCCAAACCCTCGCGGAACGCCCCGTCCAGGTCCAGGGGGAGGGGATAAGGTCAAGTTAGCCAGCTCGAACGAGCCAGAGGGCTCCGTCCACTCCCACCCGCCCTCCCACAACATAAGAAGCAAGTGCGTCGCGTCCGACGCCTGTCGCTGATCTTATATCGTGGGCGGCTAGACGTTTAGCGCGCGACATGAGCTGCGTCCTTTCCCTGCCGCGTATTGAGCAACGTCGACGAGAAACAAGGACGCGCGCGATGTACGCCGCGCCCCGCTCCGGCCTCTCATATTACATCGTCGGCGACAACATGTCCAGCGCGGGAAGTTCGCCGCGTCTCATTCCAGCCACGCACGTTGCACCGCCAATCGTTTCGCTCCTGCCGCGCACGGAGGAGGGGAAGGACGAGGAGGAGGAGGAGGAGGGGAGGGAGAGAGGTCTCTTTTACGTGGACACGACAACGGGCGCGCCGGCGGCGAACCGCATTTGTTTGAAGCAGTCTGATTTGCCGCCCGCCCAGCTCCTCAACCCGACGGGCCGGTGCGTCGACGACAAGAAAGTCCATGCTGACGAGCAGGCGTCCCCGCGCGATGTGCGCCGCGTCCCATTCCCGCTGCGCGATTCGCAGCGCCGACGAGGAGAAAATACAGATTGGCAAGAAAAACGTCGACGTTGCGGTGTTTTTGGTCAGGTAGGACAGGGGGTCCCGCGTAGGGTTGGCCAGGCGTCCGCGCGCGATGTGCGCCGCGTCTCATTCGTCCTACACTTGTCGCAGCGTCGACGACGAGAAACTCCATGTTGTCGAGAAAAAACGTTGACGTTGTATTGTTTTTGATAGGTAGGACGCGACCGCCCACTTAGGGCCCCCGAGCGATGTTCATTCCGTCCCATTACTGTTACACTTTTCGCAACTCGATGACAAAAAGAGTTGAGTCTGAATCGTTTCTTGACAGTTGGGACGGCGGGTTTGCTTTCGGCCGGCTAGGGGGGGGCTTTCGGGGGTGTTTCATTAGAAGAAGTAGGGATGAGGGGTGAAACCGCCTAGATAGCAAATCGTATAGCTCACTCCCACCCGTCCTCCCGTAACAGTCGATCCTGAGCATGTTCAGCGGTCGTCTTTGAATGGGCTGCTAGTGGGAACCAGCGCCGACCCCATGTGCGTGACGCTGGGGCGATGTGCGCCAGGCGCGCCACGCGCGCCAGGCACCCCTGGGGCCCGAGCGTGCCAGGCACGCCTGGTGCGCCAGATGCGCCACGTGCCCCGCGTGCGCCAGGTGTGGCGCAGACTCCAGCCGCTCCAGGTGCGCCACGTTCGGGGCACGTGCAGCGTGTGTCATGTGCGCCTGTACACGTGACAGCACACATCGGGAAACGTGTCGGCCCCCACCACCCATGTCGAAACCCAATGCCCATCGTTGTTGTTTGGTGGGCCTGCGCACAGCAGGCCATGCATCACCACCTCCGCCGTCCCTGTCAAAAAACCTCTTGACAGTGATCGCGGGGTGGCCGCGCAAAATCCAGATCTTGAAGCGAAATACATTTTACATTTTTTGTTAGGGATGGTCGCCCTGCGCGCAACAGGCAATATGCTGACACCCCCGCCGCCCCTGTCAAAAACAATACGAAGTGTCCGCCGGCTTCACGAACAGGATTCAAGCTTTTGCCCCAAAGTGTACTTTGTATTGTTTTTTTGACAAACATGGTGGGGGGGCCGCATCGGGTTGGCCGCGATGCTTCAAATTTGGAGGCAACGTGCGTTTTGTATTGTTTTCTGAAAGGGATTGTGGGGGGACGGGAGCATGGTTCCTGGTAGGCCGCCGGTCGCCTGGGGGAGGGGGAATATGTAAATCGGGAACAGTTATCAAGACACCCTCCCCGCCCGCAAGGCCTCTCGTTCACTCTCACCCGCCCCCCAACACAGAAGTAACACCCGAGCCGCAGCGTGTTCAGCTAATGGGAGCCAAAACAAACCTCATATGCGCAACGCTGGGGCTAGGTGCGCCAGGCGTGCCAGGCGCACCACGCGCGCCAGGTGCGCCAGGCTCCCCGTTGGCCCAAGCGGGCTGGGCACGCCTGGTGCGTCAGACGCGCCACGTGATCCACGTATCCACGTGCGCCATGTGCGCCGCATGCTACAGCCGCGCTAGGTGCGCCACGTTCGAGGCACGCGCAGGGTGTGCCAGGTGCGCCTGCGCACGTGGCAGCACACATCGGGAAACGTGTCGACCCCCACCAACCTTGTCGAAAACCAGTGCGCAATCGCAGAGGGGGTGGTCATCAGAGCGTCTGGTGGGCCTGCACCTAGCAGGCAATACGCCACCACCCCCGCCGTCCCAGGCAAAACCCATGCACAGAGATCGTGGGGTGCCCTTGCATGATCCAGATTTTGCCTCGGAGTGCATTTTGTATAGTTCTTTGACAGGGATGATGACCCTGCGCGCAGCATGCAATGTGCGGGCGCCCCCGCCGTTCCTGTCAAAAACATGACCAAATGCTCGGCCCGCCCCCGATGATGACCCAAGATTTTGTCCCACGGCAGGGATGGTTGGGGGTTGCCGTCGTTGGTCCTGGCTGGCTGCCGGTCGCCTAGGGGAGAGCTTTTTATTTACAGGGAGCAGTGATGGAACCCTCCCCAAGGGAAAGAAGAGGGTATGGAATAAAAAACTTCCGAAACCACTCACGCCCTAAAGGGCAGGTGGGATTCCACAACGAAGGTTTATCACCGATTTCGACGTCTGGGGGCCTTGGACAGTACATAGACTTGGGATGCCAAGCCGGTCCCCCGGGGACGGGTCGTGACTCTGGGGACCCCGTATTGAAACGATAAATCCACTGGATCTCTGGGACGGTACCGATATTGCCAAGCTCCCCTTGTCGCCACGGCTGGCTTCGCCTCTCGAAATCCTGGTCTGAACGCATCCCAGTAGAGTGCCGTGGACGAGCAGAATCGGTCTCTTTGTGCTTGCTCTCTCGAAGGACCCCCGGCGCCCGCAGGCGCGGCCGCGAGTTGCTCGTCGCCAGCCGTTGCGGGTCCTGCGGCGCAGGGCCCTCCTCCGAGAGCACCCTCGGCAGGCCCCTTCCCCTCGCAGGGCGCGGCCCCCGATGGCTCCCCGCCGCCCGCCAGCCCGGCCACGAGGTGTTCGTCACCAGCCGTTGCGGCCCTTGTGGCGCAGGGCCCTCCTCCGAGAACACCCTCGGCAGGCTGTTTGCCCTCACAGGGCGCGGCCCCCTATGGCTTGCCGCCGCCCGCCTGCGCGGCCGACGCGCCCGGCCGTGGCCTGCCACCGTGCGGCGGCGCCCTGGTGTCCGCCGGCCTGCCCGTGGGGGCCGCCGCCGCCGCCGCCGCCGTGGCCAGCGGCTCGCCCGCATCGCTCAATGGGGCCTCGCCAGCCTGGCCAGGACGACCGCTGGACGCGGGCGCCGCGCATGCGGCCAGCTCCGCGGCGGCGGCGCCGTGCGGAACCCCGCCCGTCGTGGTCGGGCGCCCCCCGTCACCACCGGCAGATGCAGGCGCAGTTGCAGCGCCCGCCGCGGCGACTGCGCCGGCACCTGCCGGGCCCGCCGTGGCAGGCGCCGCGGCGCCAGCGGCTCCCTCCGGGGCCCATGCGGAGGCGTCCCCGCAGATCCCAGTGTCGCCAGAGGCGCCCGAGGCGGCGGCGCCAGATCCGCAGCAGCAGCCGCAGCCGCAGGCGCCGCAGCAGCCGCAGCAGCCGCAGCAGCCGCAGCAGCCAGCAGTGGCCGCGGTGGCGGCCGTCAGCGCCCCAGCCGCCGCGGCGGATGGCGTCGGCGCAGCGGCAGGCGATGGCCAGGCGCGAGGCGGCGGGGCCGCCGCCGCCACGGACGACGAGGCCGAGGTTGCCGCGGGCATCCTCATCGCTGACCCCACCGAGCAGGCCTTGGCCTTCGACAGCAGGGGCGTGGCCATCATCGTCCGGAAGCTGGACCCCGAGACGGGGAAGCAGCGCACGATTGTGCGCAACGAGGACGGCACCTTCCGCGCCTTCGGCGAGACGACGCTCGAGTCGCTCGTCTCCTCGCCCGAGGGCGACACCAGGAGATGGGTCGGCAACCTCACGGACCGCGAGCTGCGTGCGCTTGTCCACGAGGTCGGGAACCGCCTGATCGTGGACTCGAAGGCAGGGGTCGACCAAAACGTCGGTTTGGCAATCTCGCGGACTGTTTTCGTTTTCTCTTTGTTTCTGCTTTGGTGTCTTTCTGGGGCCCGCCGCTGGCCGATCGCGCGTTCGGATTCGTGCCAACCGGTCGAACCGTTCTCGTGTCAAAACGAGTCCAGAACGCCTCGGCACGAAAACGAAGCGAACGCGCACCCCCTGGATGCGCGTGCGCGCACCCCCCGAGGTCAACGGAGGGACAGCCCAGGGGCGTGCACCACACGCATTCGCAGGGCACACTCGTTGAGGACATGCCGCTCCGCACTTGCTTCGGCCGGCTCCCATTCAGAAAGGCGCGTCCACCTCGGCGCCTGGCCTGGGATCCCACCCCAGCCAAAAACGGCCCCCCCGGCGCCTTTGGCAGACCCCTGCTCGAAGGTGTACGAGTGCCAGAACGCCCAGCTGGAGCGCCTGGCGGACACTCAGCACCTGGCCTTCTTCGGCCTCTCGCCCGGCGCGGAGGAGAAGGACATCCTGCCGGAGGGGGAACGCGTGGTCCATCCTCCCTCGTCTCGAAGGAGAGCAAGCCCAGACCACCTCGCGCTCCTCCTCCTCCTCCTCCTCCTCCTCCTCGTCCTCCTCCTCCTCCTCCTCCTCCGACGGGCGGTTTTTCGCTCTTTTCGGCCTTTGGGGGCCCTCGCCGGACCTCGGGACCGTCGAACAACGCTTCGGGAGGAAACACCGGCCCCAGGGAGTGGGTCCAGACCTCGGGGGGGGTCGACGTTGTGAGCAAAACCACGACGTCGGGGGTCTGGGGACGGTATCGGCGTCCTCCGCGCTGATTTCTCGGATCGGCGCTGTTCCCTCCCCCCCCCCCCCGGCGGCGCCTCTGGCGCCGCCGTTGGCGCGCTCCGTGCGCTGGCGCAGATCCAAACCATCCGCGCGGGACCTCTGGAAGTGCCATGGTTCTTCAGTTTTTCCTTCTTCGAGTCTTCCCTCCTCATCTCTTGGATGCCTGCTTGGGGCCTCCTGGGGCCTCCCTAGGGTCTGTTGTGGGCCTCGGGGTACCATGTTTGGGGGCTGGCTGGCCGTCCTGGGGACTTTCTTTCGGGTGGACTGCAGTGGGGGCCCATGCCAAGAAGCACCCTGCTTGCCTCCAGGGTGGCCTGGGTTTCTTGGGTTTCGATGGTTTTGCCATGGAACACGTGACGTTCCCACACCAAGAATCAAGGGACGTCCTGGGGTCTCAGGATTGGGTTTCTTGTGAAGCGTTTCTTGTGGTCGGGCCTCTGCTGTATTAAGCAGACACATGTCAGCTCGAGTTCCTAGTCTTTGGCCCATCTTGGAGGCCCCTCGGCTCGGGCCCCTCCTCGTGACTTGGAAGAGGTTCTCTTGGGGCGAACTTTGGGGCCTCCTGGGCCGTCTTGGACTCGCTCCCGAGCGCCCGGGAGCGCCCATGACCGCGGGGAGCTTCTGTGAGTTGGGGGCACGGGCCCCCGAAAGAGTATACAGTGACTGGCTTGAGTAAGGAACACTTCCTTTTCAGAAGGGGCTCGGTCGTTCCTTGGGCTTGCATGCGTTATTTGTCGCTCCTTATGATGCGTTATGTATTATTTAATCGCTTCGCTCATGCCGCCGGCCCTGGAGCCCTCTTTAGGGCCTCTTGGGGGCCTCTTGGGGACCTCTTGGGAGTCTCTTGGGGCTCCTTGGCGGCGTTTTGGAGGCCCCCAGGGCCTCTTGGGGGGCTCTTGGGGGTAGTCGATTGCGGCTCCCCCCTCGGAGGCCACGATCCTCGTGAGGGGTGTCGAAAAATACCCTCCCCTGGAGTGGTCTGGTGGCTTCTCCCGGGCTTCTCTCGGGACCTTGCCGGGGTACTTTTCGTCCGGGGGCCCCCAGGGGCCGCTCCGCGCGCGCGAACTAGAAATATTGTTAACAAGTTACCGGAGATCTTAGCACGCCTCTGGCCCGTTGGGCCGGCGAATTTATCGTTCCTTGGACAAGCAAGGGGCTTCGTTTCTTATTTATCGTTCCTTAGGTCATGCCGGCGACTGTATGGAGCGTTCCAGAAAGGGCCTTGCCTTCGAGGATCGAAAGAGTTGCCATCTCTTCCGCGGCGGAAGGCGGCGGAAGGGCGGCGGACGATCGGTGGAAGTACAACGAGGCCGCCTCCGCCGGCGGAAGCCGGCAAGGCGGCGGAAATAAACCATGCGCCCCTAAGAGATGAAACCGTTGTGAGGTCCAGGGTTCCCGAAATCGCCGACAGGTGTAAGATTCCAGGCTGAGGACTCCAGGGGGCTTGAGGGCACTCCACTCCGAGCCTCCAGAACGGCTGCGAGCGAGCCTGGGGACGGGGCCACGCGCTGCCCTGCGCGCGCCTGCGCAGGGCTGGGACCCTCTAGGAGGCCACGTGCTGGGACCTTCCAGGGCTGGGACAGTCCAGGGCTGGAGCTCCACCCCACCACCCCACGAGTTCTACGCGGGGGAGAAGGTGTTCACTTCGCTCGGGAGGTCCGTGGCCTCGGTGAGTAGGGCGTGCCGGCCTGATCGCGCCAGGGGCATGATGGTGATGGTGATGGTGATGGTGATGGTGATGGTGATGGTGATGGTGATGGTGATGGTGATGGTGATGGTGATGGTGATGATGATGATGATGATGATGATGATGATGATGATGATGATGATGATGATGAGGATGAGGATGATGATGATGATGATGATGATGACGATGATGATGATGATGATGATGATGGTTCTGATGATGATGGTGATGATGGTGAGTTTGCTGATGCTGATGATGCTGTTGCTGCTGATGATGCTGATGCTGCTGATGATGATGCTCATGCTGATGCTGATGCTGAGGATGATGATGATGCTGATGCTGATGATGATGGTCATGATGATGATGATGATGATGATGATGATGATGATGATGATGATGATGATGATGATGATGCTGATGCTGATGCTGCTAATGCTGATGATGATGCCGATGATGCAGATGACACTGATGGTGGTGATGATGCAGAAGAAACATACCAATAACGAGAATACTACACATAATAATCTATTCTTACGATTGCTAACACTAAGAATACGCATACTATTCATACGAATAATACGAATTCTAAGAATTCTCATAAGACGCGCAACAACAATAAGAATAAGGAGAAGATGAAACATAATAGTAGTAATACTAGTAATAATAACAAAGAAGGGTCGTACGAATAAGACGAATCATAGTACTAGTAGCAATAAGGGGAGGATGATGAGGAGGAGGAGGGAGAGGAGGAGGAGGAGGAGGAGGACAATGAGGATTCAGGGAGGAGGAGGAGGAGGAGGAGGAGGAGGAGGAGGAGGAGGAGGAAAACCAGGAGGAGGAGGAGAGGAGGAGGAGGAGGGAGGAGGAGGAGGAGGAGGAGCATGGGGCCTGCTACCTTCGCCAGGCAGACTGCGTACTTGGAGCATCAGGGGGGGCGCTCCGGCCGTCCCGCGGCCCTCTCCCCGCCCCCCTCGCTCCGGCCTCCCTGCTCCCGCGGGCGCAGCTTCAAGTCGGGCACGCCCCTCGACAGGACAAGACAAGACAAAGACAGCTCCCTACGCCCCGTTTCCAAATTCCTGAAGGGTGCCATGTCGCTTCGGGGCCTCACTGCTTGCTGGGGCCTCATTGGATGGTTACTTGAGCCATCAGGGTTACTCGAGCCAAACGCTTGGTCCCTCTACAGGAGGAGTATTCAAACATAGCTTTTTGGGCCCTTCGTGGGGTTCTTCTATTCTCTGGACGCCCCGCGCCGGAGCCAGAACCCCCCCCCCCACACACACACGACATCATCACCCACTCGCTCTCACTCACTCACTCATCATCACTCATTCACTCAGTCATCACGTCGCCATCACTCACACACACACACACACTTATCACCATCAACATCAGTAGCATCATCACCACATCATCATCAACATCAGTAGCATCATCACCATCATTCGCTCACTCACTCACTCTTGCACTCCCACTCACTCCTTCACTCAGCATTCTCACAATCATCATCGTCATCACTCACACGCTCACTCGCACTCACATTCACTCACACACAGACCAGCTTGATAACCTTGACCATCACTTGATCATACACTCACTCACCCACTCACTCATCACCTGCATCATTCTCCTCCTCCTCCTCCTCCTCATCATCATCACTCAGTCAGTCATTTACTCGCTCAGTCACTCACCACTCATTCGCTAGCTTGAATATGCGGGAAGTATCGGGCGGGAGGCCTCTCCCTATGGGGCCCGCATGCCATGTTTTTCATCCGAGCGGGTCATCCTCGAACTTGTATCCGTCGTCACCTTTGGGCTCCTCAGGCCTGAACACGGGAGAAGTATCAGGCGGGAGGTTCGTCTGTGAGTGAACTGTGAGGAAGTCTCAGGCGGGAACCCCCTCCCTATGGGGCCCGCACTTTATGTTTTTCATCCGAGCGGGTCATCCTCGAACTTGTAACTGTCGTCACTTTTGGGCTTCTCAGGCCAGAATATGGGGGAAGTATCAGGCGGGAGCCTTGTCTGTGAGTGAACTGTGAGGAGGTCTCAAGCGGAAGCCCCCTCCCAATGGGGTCCGCATTTTTTGTTTTTAATCCGCGCGGGTCATCCTCGAACCTGCAACTGTTGTCACTTCTGGGCTCTTGAGGCCTGAATATGTACCAGGCGGGAGCCTCGTCTGTGAGTGAACTGTGAGGCAATCTCAGGCGGGAGCCCTCTCCCTATGGGGTCCGCATGTCATTTTTTTTTTTTTTTTTTTTTTTTTTTTTTTATCCGAGCGGGTCATCCTCAACTTTGTAACCGTCGTCATTTTGGGGCTCCCGAGGCTTGAATATGGAGGAAGTATCTGGCGGGGAGCGTCGTCTGTGAGTGAATTGTGAGGAGGTCTTAGGCGGGAGCCCCCTCCTTATGGGGTCCGCATTTCGTGTTTTTCATCCGAGCGGGTCATCCTCGAACTTGTAGCTGTCTTCACTTTTATTTGGGCTCCTGAGGCCAGAATATGGGGGACGTATGAGGCGGGAGCTTCGTCTGTGAGTGAGCTGTGAGGAAGTCTCAGGCGGGACCCCTCTCCCCATGGGGCCCGCGCTTCATGTTTTTCATCCGAGCGGGTCATCCTCGAACTTGTAACTGTCGTCACTTCTGGGCTCCTGAAACCTGAATATAGGGGAAATATTCGGCGGTGTGAGGAAATCTCAGGCTGGAACCCGCTCGTGTTGCACCTCGGCGAAAACCCACCAGCAGCATTGGCCTCCTGACGGACGTGAATTAGCTCCTGGACGACGATTCGTACAAGTACGCGGATCCGCCGTCGGTGGAGATTCAGCACGCCATCAAGGCCTTCTCTCAGATCCCCTGCGTCTTCGAGCTGAAAGGCACGAAACGCTTCGAGCCTGGGGACCCTCAGATCACGTTCCTGGGCTGCACGCGCGAGGGCAAGCCTGTCCCACCGGAGGTCTGGTCCGCCTGGGAGAAGACGTTGGCGGCGTCCTGGACC